ATGGGCAAAATATCCCCAGCTATAGGGAAACTCGGGATTCCTGTGAGTGGAGTAGGAACCACCCATTTGCTTCACTCTCGCCTACTCTAGTGTCTACCTGTTGCAGAAGTACCTGATTCTGTAGCTCTATCTGTTGATTCCTATTTTAGAGGTAGGGCCCCCTCTCAGATGTCAGGCAACCTTGAGGGTTCCAGAGGGAAAGAGCCCAGTGACTGGTAGGGTCTTAAGTATCTTCTATTTGGGCCCATCACACTCTCTGTGGGGCCTTGAGCAGATGGGACCCCAGGAGGATGAGATGCTCAGGAGAAGCCACAGACACAGGCATTCCCCTCTGCCCTACCCATGGCTCCTGGGACAATGAGGATTGGCAGGATTGCTCCCAAAATGAGGGAAAATAAATCCCACCTCCAAGGAAGAGGCATTTATTTTTCATTCTTCACTTATAAAGCCCATTGTTAGATTTTCCCTAAAGGACACTAACAACTGTGAAAAAAGTTTCAGTTCGGTAAGTCAAGTCCAACCTTTGGCCCTTCAAACGGGCATTCTTTGAAAAGAGGTATGTGTAATTTTTTGGAATAAAATGCAAGGTGGAGAATAGCATGTATGATCAACTACAATTCCTGCAAAAATAAATAAATAAATAAAAAGTGAGAGGTAGAAGGACACACAAGAAGCCAATAACTGTGGGTGACTTTAGAGATAAAAATGGGAGAAGGGGATCAGAAGTATGAAGAACTGAATTTTCTCTGTATAATTTTTTTGTACTATTTGGATTGTTTTTCCATGTGCTAGTTTTTAAAAGAATTTAATGAGTTTTTTATTCATTCAACAAACAATTATAGAGCGTACAGTGGTGAGGCACAAAGTGAAACCCGGCAAGGCCCTGACTGATCCCTGCTCTCAGGAGCATACTGGTACTGGGAGGTGTGTAGGTCAGCCACATAAGCTGTCACCCAAACTGAGACCCTTCTGAAAAGAAGATGCCACTAATTGAACATCAAGACAGCAGTGTAAAATGAGACTGTCCTGGGCAAACCAAGATGTTTGGTTGGCCCAGATAGGCTAATACCCACCCACAGCCAGAACATTGGAAAAAAGAGAAGCATGGGAATTGTGAGAGAGGAAAATGACAACTGAGTCAGGGCAGCTTCATGGAAGAGGATCTAAAGGGCAGGTTGGATTTAAATGGTAGATTCAGGGGAGAAGACAGGCAGGATTATGGCCCCCCCAAAAGATTCTACACCCCAACCTCCAAGACTATGGAGGTGATGATACATCACACCCATAAATACATTACTTGTCTTAGTCAGCTCATGCTGCTATAACAAAATACTGTAGGCCCGGTATGTTATATAACAGGCATTTATTTCTCTAGTTCTGGAGGCTGGAAGTCTGAGATCAGGGTGCTGGCATGGTCAGGATCTGGTGAGAGCTCTCTCCTTGGCTTGCAGTTGGTAATTTCTTGCTGTGTCCTCACACAGTGGAAATAAAGAGAGTGAATATGAATTTGGGTGGGAGGGGGCATAATTATTCAGTTCATAGCATTATCTTACATGGCAAAAGGGACTTTGCAGATGTAATTAAAGCTACTAATCAGTTGACATTAAAATAGGGAGATTATCTGGATGGGCCCAACGTAATCAGGTAAGTCCTTTAAAATAGAGGCAGAAGATGAAGGCAGAAGAGTTCAGAGAGATTTGAAGCCTGGCTTTGCAGATGGAGGAGCCACATGACCAGGAATGCAGGTGGCTTACAAAGGCTGAAAGAGCATGCTTGGCTGATAACCAACGAGGAAACAGGGACCTCAGTCTTACAACGCCAAGGAACTGAATTAGTCCATAACCCAAATAAGCCTGGAGCAGATTCTTTCCCCCAAGTCCCCACATGAGAGCCCAGCCTGGCTGACACCTTGATTTCAGCCTGTGACATGAGATCAAAGCAAAGAACCCAGCTGAGCCCACCCAGACTTCCGACCTGCAGAAACTGTGAGATGAAGAGCAGGTGCTGTTTTAGGAGACTAAATTTGTGGTAATTTGTTACACAGCAATAAAAAACTAACATTATTAATACAAATAACATCATTAATGCAAATACCTATGGGGCCCAGCAAAGCAGGCCCAGCTGGAGAAAAAACAGTATAAGCTCAATGACAGAGGGCCACCAAAACCCAGCCTGAGAGTCAGGGAGGTGGGGGCCAGGCTTGTCTGAAGAGCTGTTGCCCCATCCGCTGAGCTGTTGCCTGGCAAGAATATGGGCTCAGTGTGGCCAAATAATCCATTTTTCAAGAGAATCCAGAAATTCTTATATAAAATGTTCTGGTTCCCACTTTATAAACACTGTGCTAGCCAACCTTGGCCAGACCAAACAGCACAGATGTGTGCTTTGAGCCAGATGTGACTTTCTAGGACATCAACTGAGTATGAGAGACAAGGCAGAAGGTCTCTAGAACAGAGTGTGAGAGTCGAGTGTGGACTTTCTCAGGAGGCACTAGGGAGCCAGTGAGAGTCCCTCCTTTCCTCTCATCCAGAAGAGAAAGGGAAGTCACATGCATGGAAAACCCACTCTGGCCAGTAACTATGCTGCAGATAACCTACTTGGAGCTCCCCAACAACCTGATGTCATAAGGGCTACTGGCCCCATTTCTGGGTGAGGCAGCTGAGGCACTAGACTGAAGAACAAAAGGACAGCAACTTGTCTGTTCACTTTCCCTGATTCCCCAACACAGTGGTTCAATAATTGCCTGTGATTACACAGATATGAAGTGGTGACAGTGGGCTCAAAACTACATTCCTGATTCCACAATCTGAGTCCTTCCAGCTGCTCCACATGGCATCTTACATTGAGTGATTTTATTCCTTTTGATTAAAAGGGGGTTTGTTGTCCTGTTTCCCAAGCCCTAGACTCTTCTCTCCTCACTTCATTAGTCAGCTCCCTATCCTTATTTAAGGCTTCTGTTCTTTTTCTCCAGTTCTTGCCGTGGTGGCTGCCCATCCCCCATGGTGCCTCCCTCACTGCTCCTACATCCCAGCCTTTCAGACTCCTTTCAGACTGCTTACTTGTAGCGCAGTCTCTTTGCTTCCCAGTTCCAAATTCCTGAGAAAGGAATCTAATAGGTTCAGAACACATTTTTGTGCCAAGTCATAATGGATCATAGATCACTGGCTAGCCTATGAGGAGGGCCTCCCTTCTGTCAGATGCCAGCCTAGGCATGACCCTCTATAACCCCTTCCTCCCTCCCATCCCACTCCACCTCTAAGTTCGGTAAGTCAAGTCAAGTCCAACCCCATCTCTAAGCAACTTCTGCCTCAGGACCAATCTCTAGAGGCTACTCATGGTATGAGCAAGACCACTCAGGGAAGCCCTTACCTTATTTTATTTTATTTTTTTAAGATTTTATTTGGGAATTGGGGGAGGGGAACAGTGTTGGGGAATCAGGGAAAGTGAACAGACAAGTTGCTGTCCTTTTGTTCTTCAGTCTAGTTGTGGAGGACGTCGCTTCACTGGCCCATGTTGGTATTATCATTGTGCTCTTCCCAGGTGAGGCAGTCACTCACCAGCCATTGGACAGCCATTCATGGTGGCTTATGAAAGTGCACACCAGCTGCCAGCCAACCCCACTGCAGCCTACACCGTCGCCAGCAACTCACAGCAGCCCAGTTCCAGGTTGAGCTGTTGTTCACCATCTTAGCTGTAGAGTGCGCAGCATCACTGACCCTCATGTGGGATCCGAACCCGGGTCCTGCTGCTCAGAGCTGGCGTCCCTAGCCAACTCCTAATCAACGCGCCACTCGGCCGGCCCAGGGAAGCCCTTTCTTTAAAAACTACATCCTAAACACTTACCCAGCCTTACCCAATACTCATAAATATGGCTTGAATGGAGGTGCCTGCACCAGGCAAGATAAGCATTCACAACAGTATTCAAAATTAGTCTAAAGTCTCTGAGGTGCCTACTGCTGCCCTGTGGGGGGCACTGGCAGGAGCACCACATGGACCACCTATGGAATGACACAGGTGAGCAAAGAAACCAGGCAGTGCTCCATGTCCCCACTCACTAACCCTCAGTGATTCCTTACCACAGGTTGAGTGTCGATTGAACAAAAGGTCTCTTCATTTCCCACTGAGGGGATGAGATTTTGCTAGCATTGAGCCCACACCCTGCCTCTTTCTGACATGAGGAACTTAGGTAGTCCTCTGCAGAAGCCATTCAAATCAATAAGAGATTGGAAAGGCAGACACATAATAAGATAAGAGAATTCCTTGTGCTGAGAGAGAGGTGCAGTTTTAAATCCTCTTTATAAAGGCTTCATTTTGAATGCAGAACAAGTTTTTAAAACAGCCTTATTGCGCTTATGTTGACACATAATAAACTGCTTATGCATATACAGTATACAATTTGAGTGAAACCACACCTGTGAAACCATCACGACAATCAAGATAATGAATCTGTCACCCCCAGTTTCTTCAGGGCCATTTGTAATACCCCACTCTGCACTCCCTGTCCCCATCTCTTGGTAACCACTGATCTTTTTTCATTCACTACAATTTGCATTATCTAGTATGGTACATAAATAGAACCTTATTGTATATACTTTGTTTCCTTGGCTTCTTTCACTCAGCATGATTATTTTGACATTCAACCATGTTGTTGTGCATATATCAGTAATTCATTTCTTTTTACTACTGAGTAGTATTCCATGGTATGACATACCACAATTTGTTTCTCCATTCACCTCTTGATGGAAAACTTTTGGTTTATTCCCAGTTTGGGACTATGACAATACAGCTGCCATGGACATTCATGAACAAACTTTTGTACTTATACATATGCTTTCTTTCCTGTTGGGAAAATGCCTAAGAATGGAATAACTGGATCATTTGGTAGGCACTGCCATTTTAATGGAAGATCCTTGTGGGTTTCAGAGTATCCACACTGCGTATATTTAGCCTGCTAGATAAAGGTACACACAGATCACATGTGAACAAATGAAACACATACTCACCCATGAGGAGGAGGTCACACCAGGCTATAGCCAGCTTCATTCCAGTCCTCCCACTATATGGAGAAGTCTTCCGGGGGGAAAATCTCCCAGAGTGCACTTCAATTTTGTAAAATGTTCAGTGCCCAAGCTCTTGACACCTCAGAAATGGCCCACCAGAGGGCTATATAATATGTCTCCAGGAGAGCTTTAAATAGGGTTAACATCTCACCAATCTAGAATAAAACAGTTATAATCAATATTGAAAGCTGTGGGCATGAATTCGAGCAGGGGTTCTTCAAGGATGCTATCATCAGCATCACCTAGGAAACTGTTAGAAATGCACATTCTCCGCAGCACACACCTACAGTTGAAACTCTGAGTGGGGCCCAGCACTTTGGGTTTTTACCAGCCCTCCAAGTGATCTGATGCATGCTCCAGTGTAAGAATCAGTGGCCTACTTAGAACATCTTTCAAGCCCTTCCTCTCTCCTGGAGTTAATTGCATCAGAAGTCACGATAGACCAGGAGCATCATCACCTCTGTTGCCTGTTACACCCACACTGCTGTGGAGCTCACTCTTAGAACTCTGCAAACCCATGTTAAAGTCTCCTCAAAGACATCATCACTTATTTCCCCAAAGGAACAAACTAAAAAAAGAAAAAGAAAAATCAGAAATCAAGAACTCAATCATCGAAGCATTTAAATCCAACTGTTAAAACCACCCATTTCTCTATGTGTTACTCTCACCCAAGTGTATTTCAGCATAAATGAATCTAAGAAAAGAAAAAGACAAAGATGTTAGGTGATACACTCCAACACTCTTTACTGATCTAAAACCCCCTCTGCATATTTATATATCAGCAGGAAAATTAATCAAACTTGAATAGGAAGAATTTGAGTAAAAATATTGGCTATGTTTTGTTTTAATCTTCAGTTTAAGCATGATTTCCACTGAATATTATAACTGGAGAGAAGTTCTGATCGCTTCCTTGATATTTTTGCATGCTTAAATTTTAGCCCAGTCTTTCAAAACCCTCTCCAGCTTCTGGCCAAGCAGAACTTTGCCGCTCACTTTGAACTTGCCAGCAAGGAAAGCCTTCTGAGGGTTCATTTTGCCCAAAACCAACTCCATGAAGACAGGTTCGGGGATAGTGAAGACAGTGTCTGCTGGGAGCCTGGCAGACCCTGGATACATGTCCCCAGAACCATTCTTCAGATCAATGGTCCACTGCAGAATGATCTTCCCATCTTTGGTGATGTCCAGCTGAAAGATGGCATTGACTTTCTTTACTAGTTGGGCCCCCATTTCTTTGATGTGATGGCTAATGTCCTCAAAAACTGGGAAGCTCTGGAATTCTGACAGCTCTAGAGGGTGTGGCATGGCAGGTCCCCGAGCTGAGCTCAGTTCCTTGAACTGGTCCTCCTGAGGTCCATCCCCTGCTTTGATCTTGGATTGATGATCGAGTCTCTTCCACATCTTACTGTGCAGGTCCTCTTGACCTTGCTGTCTGGTTTGTGAATAGCTATGGCCAGATTAATATCTGCAGGTCAGATTGTGACATCAAAGGTAAAGCCCAAGTAAGAAATGAGGCTGGTATGTGTGCTGCAGTCTTATTGGCCAAACAGATGCTAAAATGTGACATGGGGTGAGGCCTCAGACAGGTAATTGTGAGTCAGCTCCACACCATCATCACCCAAAACCAATCAGGACTGTTGGTCTCACAAGCCTAGAAAGACCTGGAATTCATGTTGGGAATATGGGAAACTGGCTCTAGAAAGTTTTTTGGTAACATGAGCTCTTTCTGATGCAACCCTAACTGAGAGAACAGTTATTCTGATTTCTTCAAAACTAGATAACCCTTAAGGCACAGATTGTGGTGCTGGATTTGGCTTTACCTGGCTGCTGGTGTAGGGAGAAATGCATTGAGAACAAAATAGCTGGTTGGAGGAGGAATCAGCACAGGGCCTGCTTCAATCAGAAAGTTTCCAGAAGCACAGTAAGATGGGGAAAAAGTGAGACTCATTACAACAGTCTGAGGTGAGTACTGCTTTTTACCCCCATTGTTTAGATGAGGAAACCAGGGCAAGAAGAAAAGTGACTTGTCCAAAGTCACACAGCTAGTAAGTAGAGTAGCGAGGTTTGAACAGAGGTAGAATGACTCTAGAACCCACTTGTGGTCTGTCTGCTGCTTTCTTATGATTAGGATGAGGTTTTTTGGCAGGAATACCACAGAAGTGCTATTGCGCCCTTTTCAGTGCATAACATCAAGGGGTATATGGTGTCAATATGCCCCATTGCTTGTTAGGTTGACCGTAATCACTTGATTAAGGTGGTATCTACTAAGTTTCTCCACTGCAGTTAGTTTTTCCCTTTGTAGTGAATACTTATCTTATAGGGGGATACTTTAAGACTTTGCAAATATCCTGTTTCATGTCATACTTCAGCCCAGTCCTTTCTGCATCCATCTGTGGTCCATCAGTGTAATGTGTACTAAACAGTCACTTTGCATTTCCGTCATTCCCTTCAGATTTAAAAATTGGAATTCTACTGTATGGAAGAACTGTCCCTTCTCTCCCATTTCTTTATTTGTTCAATTATATATTTAAACTTGTGGATATTTATTTTACTCTATGGGTCATGATCTATTATTATCATTATTTATTTTCTTGCTCAAATTGTCCCAGCTTTGGCCTTTGGGAGCTCCATCAAGCTGGTGTTTGTATCCTTCCCAAACCATGCTGCTTTTATATGTAAGTGAAACTATGTTAAACGGAGTTTCTGGTAGTTTTGTTCTCTCTGAGAGGAATGCAGAAAATAAAAAAGACTTCGGCACCTTTTCTTCTGTACATGATGGATGAACTGATATTATCAACATGGAACAAGCAATTAAACAAAACTCAATGGCCTCCAAAACCAAGTCTACTCTGAGGCCACCAGATATGGACAGCATCTGCATAGAGAACTTAAAATGAAAAGGCAGGCAATTCCCCAGTAAATTCGCTGTGAGCAACTAATAAAGAACTGAGCTCTACTGCCACAGTTATCTGTATTTCCTCAAAAGTGGGGCTGTCCCTTCTGAAATATTCAGATAATTCAACTGGGCTGCCACTTCTGCCTCAGCATGTCAGAGAGGAACACAGTTCCACAGTCCATACATGTCCCCTTCATGTTTCTATCTTCTATAGGTGGAGATTTCTACCATTAAAGGGAATCCCAATATAAATGGTAATATACACATGGAAAGGTACTCAACATCATTAGTTACTGGGGACATGCAAATTAAAACTAAAATGATTCATCACACACACAAAAAAGACTTATTGTGGTGATCATTACACAGTATACTGAGGGTGCCAAAAAAATGTATACACATGGACACTTTGCTCATCGTTGCTCAAGCAGTAGTTCTCTGTAATCAGAAATGTCTGGATGCTGATGGTAACCACTTTGAGCACCTCTCGTAATTGCAGAAGTCAAACGTGACTGGTATTCACCTTTTGTTAATGATATATATTGAGTATTACAATTTTAATAATTATTTCCTTTCTTGAAATGTGTATACATTTTTGGCACCCTCTGTATACCAATATCAAATCATTATGTTGTACACCTGAAACTACTAATGTTATGTTAATTATACCTCAATAAAAAAAGATGAAAGAAGATGTTGAATGGTTTTGAGGTGAAGAGAAATATCACCAGTTGGTGATCCCTATCTCTCCAGGCTTTTCTCTCATGTCCCTGCAAGAGTCCTGCTCAGGGGAGTTTTACACTCCCCTCCTAAATATTCCTTGAGCTTCCCACCTTTAGGTTTTTGCATCCTGTCCTCTATTCCTATCCAAATTCTGTCCTTCCTTCAAACCTTAATTTATATTGCGTCAGCCTCTATTAAGCCCACCACCACCACCACCACGCAGTAGACTCTACACAAACATGTAGCTGGACATGCTTCCAACTTTGAGGGTCAGATATATGCTAAATGGAGACAGGTGCACAAACGCAGCCCAAATTAAGTATGGAGCAGCCTCAGAAAACACTTTACCAAGACTATGGGATCTGTGGGAACATTCAATAAACAGCCCTATTTCTCTGCCCTATGTGAATTTTAAAGACATTGAGAAATAAGACAAGGAATGGCAGATGGAAACCAAAATTTTGCCTTTATCACTGATCGAAGCATAGTTGAAAGAAAGTACGTATTTAAGACCCCAGTGGGCCTGCCAACTAACCTCCACAGTGCGAGGCAGAGTTACCCACCTACCTCTCAGCCACCCTCCTGGGAGGGTTCTGCATATGAGGCTGGTCATGAAGGGCCCATCCAGGGAAAGTTCTGGACAGGAAGGTGCTCAATTTATACTTCCCACATTTATCACTCAAAAAAGTCACCTCACCCTAGCGAGTAAAGAGGTAAAGAGGGGCCAGGAGTGTTGTGAGGAGAAATTACTTTGGAAGAAAATCCCTCCTTGAGGAAACCAGGGAGTGGAGACAGGCCCTGTTTTCTAGTAAATGCTACTTCTAGCTGGAGTTGAGGTGGGAGGGTAAGTTCCAGGAAGCCTTTCTTGGAGCATCATTTTGCTTAATATTCTCTTTGTTTGCTTCAATTTCTTCTTTTCCCCTCAGTTTTTCTTGAGGTTTTTTACAGCTCAAACTGGGGTTACTCTCAGCTACCCTCACTCCCTCCTAGGCCTCACTCTGTCTGGGCAGAATGAACACTCCTCATCAGCAGAGGTAAATGAATAAAGACTCTCTCAATGGTTACCTTTGTGACCTGTAAACGAAGAGAATATTTATCATTATAGGAGTCAAAACAGGCTAGCTTGCTTGAGTTTGATAAACTCACTTTTCCCAGAGGGGCCTGTCGGAATCAAGTGGTCAACGGGAACTAGACATTTAGACAGAAAAGATTCTGCAAATAAGAAATTTGAACACAAGCACTGAGACCACTGCCAAACAGTATTTTCTGAGATAATGAAAATGTTCTATATCTGTGCTGTCCAAAGCAGTAACCACTAGCCATTTGTGGCTGTTGAGCGCTTGACGTATGGCTAGTATGACTGAGGAATTGAATTAATTTTATTTAGTTATAATTAACTTAAATTTAAATAGTCATATATGGTTTCTCATCAGCATCCTGGGAAACAATCCCAACATCGTCCTAACCACCATAAGGAAGTTATATGGGCATGAAGTGGATGCTGGCCCCATCTTTAATCACTGAATTACACCAAACTCATATAAAAGTCCATTCCTAAACCCCCAGTTTCACATGTGGAACAGAGACCAGCTTCCATTGGTGGGATGTGGTTCCTATGAGGGCACCCCATTTTTGGGCAAAGCTCAAAGCCTAAAGACACATATATACTTAAAATAGCACTGTTACATTTACCTTTGAATAAGACATAAGCATGCGGAAGTGGGCGATTAATAGGTAACTTCTGGGTTAGATTGTATAAGGTATGACTGACTGAAAACCAAGATATTTAACTCCTTCTTACAGCCTATCCAAACTGTCCCTGATGGGTAAAACGCATCTTAGTTATCAATTGCTGCAATAATGCTGTGTAACAAATGACCCCCAAACTCACTGATTTAAAACAATAAGCATTTATTTAGCGCATGAGTTAATGGACCAGCAATTTAGGCTGGGGTCAATGGGATGATTCTTCTGGTCTCCTCTGGGCTCACTCTCATATCTGGCAGTTGTCTGGCTATCAGCTGGGGTGCCTGGGCCATGTGACAATTCATTCTCCCACAGGTGAACCTAGGTACGTTGTCATGATAGAGGCAGGGCACAAGCCAACAATCTCAACTATGGGAGTGCTTTTCCAGCCTCTGCTTGCACCTATTGGCCAAGGAACATCAGATAGGCAAACCCAGAGTCATGGTGGGAGGGCATTACCAGGCTAGGTGGCAAAGTGTATTGTCATGGTCTGAATGTTTGTGTCCCTTCAAAATTCATATATTGAAACCACCGCCCCCCACCGGCCACCATGTATTGGGAAGTGGGGCCTTTGGGAGGTAATTAGGATTACATGAAATCACAAAGGTGAAGCCTTCATGAATGGAATTAGTGCCCTTATAAGTGTCACAAGAGAGGTGGTTTACCCTCTCTGCCCTGCACCATGTGAGGATAAAATGAGAACAGCCTGCAACCTACAATAGGGTTCTCACCAGAACCCAACCATGCTGGCATCCCGATCTTTGACTTTCAGCCTCCAGAACTGTGAGAAATAAGTTTTTGTTATTTATAAGCATTTAGTCCATGGTATTATTTTGATCTCGTGCTACACCTAACCCAAGCCAAGATAGATGTAGATACAGGAGAGGGCAAATCAATAGTGCAATTAATCTACTACACTCACAGGAAGGCTTTTTCAAGTCCAGGAAATATTTCTTTCTAAAAAATTCACTGAACTACACCAAACTCATGTATAAATATATTTGAAATTCCAACAACTGACTTGAGACTTTTAAATATGTAGAACAGAGATCACCCTTCTCTCCTGGCCCAAAAAACATCACTGGCCCATGTAAGGGCACTCCTATATTAAGACAATGTT